GATACTATTAGACGAATTTAAAAAGTTCTATAACATACACACTTTTCTATATATGGGGTAGACCGATGATTAAAGGTTTGCGGTAAAAAGGTCCACCACCGATATCTCGAAAAAAGTAAACTTAAGAATTTTTTAACAAAAATATTTGAAAGTAGAGGAAAAAAGATGTATAACGAATCTTTCGTCATTGCTATCAGGAGAAAATCGGCAATGTTTGATAATCCATAAAAAAGCATTTTCTTTGGTTGTTAGTTTTTTTGTTGTGAGCACTGTTGTTTAGTTCACGAGACCTTAATATAATTTTTATTTATAATATAATTATAATTTTATTATAATTTATTTAATTATTATTTAATATTAATAATAATTTTCTAATATAATTTTTATGTATTATTTATTTGTTTTATAAGATGTGTTGTTAATTTTAAGTTAGATTCAACAGATTTTTCATTATGTAACCTCTAGCTTAAACGTGGGTGGGGTAAAAAAGACCAACTGAACTTCACTGCGGCAAGATGTAAACAATAAAAAATAATAAAATAGTGGTGCATAGCATCGTGCCTTAAGACAAATTGCTGAAACTTCCCGTACCAAAAATTAAATAATTTAAAAAAGATTCGATTTTTTTATAGAACTTTGAAAAAAAAATTTATTTTTGAGATTTTTAAATTTTTGAAAACAATTTACAAGTAAACAATTTTGCAAGAAGTACCAGTTTTACAGAAATGCCAGATCAAGGTTATATTATTTTTGTAAAAAATTTAGACATAAAATTTAATTTTGCTTTGGTTGAATAATGTAGCGATTATTTCGTAAAATTCTTTTAAAATTAAAAATAGGAATAACACCTCTTTGCCTACTGGCCGTCCCATTTTACCCCGTCTATGGGGTAAAAAGGACCAAGTAACAAATTTTAGAAATAGCCTAAAAAGCACATTTCTACAATGATGAATGAATGATGAATTAGCTGGAAGTTTTACTGAACATAGTCAGATTTCGTTCGTTTGATATGTGTTATTTGTTGTGATATAATTGGATTGGATTTCTCAAACTGGACCTTTGTGCCTTGCCCTAAATATATATATATATATATATATATATATATGTCGTATGCAGTATACATGTATATTCGAAACATCGGAGTGTTCGTGGCGAGCATATTTGGTGTGCAAGGACAAAACTAATCAGGATAAAAGGTTTGAACGAATTCCGAATTTAACGGGCCGATTTAGCAACGCAAGTGAGCCAGCATCATGCATGAATGTATGAGGACTGAGGACTAGATGATAACAACGAATGACAAGAGGGAATTACAGTGACAACGGGCAACGGACAACACTCGTGCAGAACAATAATTACTTGTGTATATCGTTCATTTTTACGACTTCCACTAACCTACTCCTTTATGGGAGCACTTAAGCATCGTTTTTCGAATAATTTCTTATAGTTTACACTCATCGGGTAGTTTATATTATAAATTAGGATAGAGGAACTTAAAGGTCCGCGGGTTAAAAGGTTCACTACCAATGCCTCAAAAATCAGTAAAGTTAAGTTACTTTTTAAACAGCAAGATTTGAATGAGTAGGGTAGGGGAAAGTCCCCGAGTGCCGGACACCTATGGTTATTTATAAATAAATCAAAAAATAGTTTACGATATGCTTATTCAATTATGACTTATGTTAGATAACAAAGTTAGAAATCAAACTAAATTAACAAAAACGCAATCTTTGCTAAACAATAATTAATACTATCAATCAAACTTTGGTAATACAAAATATGATTTTACAAAGTGGCACCTAGTACCGAACATTTCAAAATAATCAGCATTGAACATATATGTAGCCATCTCCATACTCTGGAATGTCTGCACATTTGTGTTTGACGAATATTCTTGGATATTGCAAAAAAAAATCACTAATTATCCACCCTTTTGGCTGGGCCACACCGATGCTCTCAGTTGGAACATACATCATAAGATTTTCATTCTTTGTCTAGAAAATACGGAAAATGGGGGTATGTAGTGACCGTTAGCACTCATACTAAACAAAATTAAATAATTAGAATAAATTACGTCAATTCTCACAAGAAATATCAATATGTTTACTTCCGTCGTTAAGGGACGACTTAGTGTCAGGTGCTAAGGGACAGACAATTTTGTTAATTTGGTGGTACCTACTAAAATTGTTTAAAATATCTAATAATATTTTACCATTTTACGGATAACAATCAAGTACTACTTTTATTTTTGAATGCCACTAAAATATAAATGCATAAATACACTAGAATTGCTCCATTGATATTAGGTGATGCCGTGTTTTCGCGCCTAAAACAACAAAGGTGAGTCTTGGCGCGTGATCCTGCACCTGTGTGCTCCCCGTGCCCCTTTCACTTGTATTTTGAAATAAAAAGATTTATACTCGTTTAAATAATACGTGTTAAATAGAGTGTCCGGCTTTAGGTGCCGTCCAGCGTTACGAGACTTCCCTCTAAAAGATGTATTACCAGCTATCATCTTGATACTTACGACTTTGCTATCAAGAGAAAAACGGCAATGTTTGAGAATCCATAAGAAAAGTATTGTCTTTTATTTGGAGTTTTTGTGGCCGTGAGTACTATTGCTTAGTTACGAGACCTATATATAATTTTAAAGTATACGTTATTAACTTTCTGTAAGGTACGTTATGGTAATCGCAAAAAAATTGAAAATAAAATATTTTACATACCGTTACGTTTTAAGGTCTTCTGAACATTTTGGCATACCTTAGAAAAAATGGACGTATGTGTGTGTGTGCGTGCGTGCGTGCGGATACAAATTTTCGTCGACGATTTAGGGTCAACCGATTTGAATAATTAAAGAACATTCGATTCGTATTGATAAGGAGACGTGCTGATTAGTTTTTGGCAAAGGCAGGTCTACCGGTTTTGGAAATCCAATAAAAGAAATGAAAAAATGCCATTTAGCGGAGAAAAATGATCATTAGACATATTCACATCAAATTATCACATATTTTATAGATATTTTAATAATAACAAGTTTTCTTTACTTTTTTATGGGTTTCGTACCGATTTGAAAAAAGGTTCAAAATTTCCAAAAGTATAAAGAAAGTAAGAAAATAAAATTGAATCTTTTATAAAAATTATAATTTTTGATACGGGAAGTTTCCGCAATTTGCCTTAAGGCACGATGTCATGCACCACTAGTTTCTTTTATAAGAAGACTTGTTAATTTTAAGTTAGAGTCAACAGTTTTTTATATAACTTCTATAAAATGCTTATACTTGGGTGGAGTAAAAAGGACTAACTGTGTAAAAAATAGCAAATAAAAATGTAGTTTAAGTTAAGAAAAGGAATTTTACAAGAGATAAATTAAATAAATAATTAACCAACTCTGCTGATATTAATATTTCTGGCGAAATACCAGATCAAAGTTATTTACAGTAATATTTCTGTAAAAAATGAACCCATGAAATTTATTTTTTGCATTGCATTTAAGTTTTCAAATGTGAGGCTTAATTATCATCGATTTTTAATACATTAATCAATTTATTTAAATTAATGAGGAATTTTAGACATATTTTTTTAAATTTATTATGTACTATTGTAAGATATATTCGAATCTTTATTATCTTTATGTGATTTACGGTATAACCTAAAAAAAATTAATTTCATGATGTGAGACTTTTAATATGCTGAATAAAATATACCTGAAAAACCTGAAAATTATACTGAAAAGCATGTTTAATTATTAATATTATTTATTATCTTCTGTTCTATATATATTACAGTACGTATAATGGCATCTTGAATCAATATTATTTTTTTGTAATTTTGTAAGAAAATTATTTTAATACACTTTAATACATTTATCATTTTGTCATATGCTAGGTACTTTATTTATATGTTTACAAATTATTCACAAAAATCAATCTACGAAAATGTGCTTAAAAGAATTCATTCTGTTATTTCTTCAGTAGTAAAATGTAATACTTTAATACACTTATATGCAAGATAAATGTACTTATAAGAATTTGTAATGTAAAAAGTAGCTTTTGTCACAAATTAAATATATAGTTAAAAATATTTACAATTAAATAAATAAGTAAAATATTATTACAAATTTTGAAAACATATATCAAAAGCGCAATTTTTCATATTTTTAGAAGATTCTAGCCCTTAATAAGGATTGCTTGATAGAACCGTATAACGTTTTTCGTTTATATTTACATTATATAATACAGCGTATATTATTTCATACTTTATAGTAATTAATTTAATTTACAGTCTTATGTGGTATCAAACACATGCACACATTTAACTTTATGCATCCACATTATTCTTTGTATATTTCTTGTGAACATAATAATACAAACATTAAATATATCAATTAAATCATATTGCACAAAACGCGAGACTAGATAAACTGCACATTTCAATGGTAATTTTCTTCTCTTTAACTGGAAAATTACATTTTTAATAAATTACTTAATGAAACTTTGTGTTCGTCAAAAACACCCTTTTTTGTTTGAAAATTACTTAGACCTTTTTATTGTCTAGTGCTACCTTTACATAACACATATGGTCATTTTGAGTTTAGAAGAAAAAAGAAAAAATCCCAAATATTTGCAAATTAAGTCGTAAAATATTTTCACCAATTTCAATATGTAAGTTTATATAATAATTCTGTTGCGAATTATAAATTATTTCACATATGCTATAATATAGAAATTACTATAAAACTATTATAGTTAAAACTAATTCTTGTTCAGGTGATCATACAAACAAATAAATTAGTAATATATTACATAAACTTTACACTAGTTTTTGGCAACCTTTTGCACATCCATCCAGTAAAACATAAAAATTTCTCCCAATTATAAATCTTTGGACCGTACCTACATCTTCATTAAATATTATACAAACATTTAAAATTTACACACAAAAATCCATTGAAACTGTTTGTGCAACTGCCAACTTAGTTACTTTTTCACTCAATCGAACTATTACACAACGTAAGGCCGAAACATCTCAGATCCGTTTATGATCATGGGACCATCCTCGGCATGCACCAAAATACCACGTTTTGTAAGATTTCCATCGACTCCTGAATCAGAATTTGCATAATTATTACTGATTCCTCGTTGCCGATCTAATTCCGTCGTAGAACCATCTAACATCCTCTGTCTAAGGAGATTTTTATCAGGTTTGTTCTGAAAGTTGCCAGAATCCTTATTGGCCGATTGAATTTGGAGAGTTTTTGTGATGTCTTCGGGGGCTGCACTCTGTTGTTTAGAAGCCATGGGACTGTGATGTACGTTTCGGGTCTTCTCCGAGTCGTGTTGTTGATGTTGTTGTTGCTGCTGTTGTTGATTGACGCTATCTTTCGTTTTGGATTCTTGTTGAGTCTTTTTGGACCGTTTCCATTTCATGCGTCGATTTTGAAACCAAATTTTGACCTGAAAAAGAAAAGGATGAGAGTTAGAATAATATAAAATCATCGTTGACTAAGATTACATTGACTTCACTTTACAATATTATTATACTCAATATATTGACAACGTATTAAAAATAATCGCTTCATCTTTAGTTTCAAGGCTCGCCCGTAGGTAAGAGCGACGGGACTTGTTTCAGAGGTCCCGGGTTCGATACCCACTTCGAGCAGCCTGTTGTCAGGCAGCAGTGACAACGATTTTCACTTGGAAATATAGATAGCAATATGTTTCCAAGTGAAAATAGCCCTTGCTGACATTTTATTGCTGCACCAATAAAATGTCAGCCCTATTAGATTAATTCTAATAGCAAAACAAAATCATCAAATACGGATGGATTAACCATTGGGTTACCATCTAAAAATACGAAGTAAGGAGAAGTTTCAGCCCAACAGCTCATAGGACGTAAGGTTCTGATTGCTGTTGAAAATATATAAAAAAAATAATAATAATCTTTCGTTTCCAGCCATGTATAGTAGGTTTAATATAAATATGCTATTATTTTTTATTAACTTCCAGAAGGAAAAGTATGTTTTCATCAAAAAATCCGATTCGCTAATTTTATGTTTTCTCGACGTTTCAAGCCATTCTGAATCGAATGAGACCAAATTTGGAAAACGTATATGTGTGTGTGCATATGTAAACAGATTTTTTGCCGTAAATAGACGTTTTCCCAAAAACGGCTGGACCGATTTCAAAAGTTTAAAAGCCATTCGATGTATCTCAATGAACACTAACGTTTATCAATTTTGCGCGACGATCAGCCCAGCCGTTTCTTTGTAAATAGCAGAAAAGTGAAAAAGATTTTGTCCATGTTTTAGCCCGCAGTTCTTTGAAAATTTAAAAACCGTTCGAAAGATATTGGTTGGGAATCGTGCTGATTAGTTTTGGGTAAAGATCGGCTGAGTCGTTTTCTTGTAATAAAGTGTTAAAATTTGTTTCCATGATTTTTATGATTTTTTAATGATAGATATCATAGTCTTATAGATCATACTAAAAGTTACGGCTCTACGATAAGTCGTTTAATTTAAAAAAATCGTCAAAGTTTGCAAATATTAGTATCGTTTTTTTGCGTTTGCCAAAACTAGAACTTTCGTCGAAGTTTGCTCAAAAACGCCTGAATCGATTTCAGAAATTTAACAGCCAATCGATGTATTTCGATGTCTATCTATTCTCATTTTTGTGCGACAATCGGCGGGGCAGTTTCTTTGTAAATAGCAGAAAAGCGAAAAAAAAATTGTCCACGTTTTAGCTCTCAACTCTGAATCGATTTAAAAAAATCAAAAACTGTTTGAAAGATATTGGTTGGGAATGATACTGATTAGTTTTAGGTAAAAATCCACCGGGTCATTTTATTGAAATTAACTATTGAAAAGAATTTTTTTGTTGATTTTTATGAACCTTTTTTGGCATTGGATATCATGGTCTTATAGAATTTACTAAAATATTATGGCCTTACGACAAGTAGTTCAATGTAAAAAATTTATCAAAGTTTGAGAAAATATTATAGTCAACATTTGTGTCTAAAGTTGATTTTGTGGTGTGATGAGTCAAAAATTATTTGTTCACTAAAATTTAAAATAATAAGCTACAATTGTATGGCATACAAGCACTATCTGTTTCTGTGCAATATAATTAATATAATTACAGTTAATTTAAATGTGTTTGAGAAAATTCTGCAATGTTTAGATTTAATTGAAAGCCATAACTTTATTTTCAAAATAAACAGTTGAAAATTTTATCTAAATATCTAAATTTCAATTTCGATTGATTAAGTCAATTCATACACATTTCGGAAAGTTCATGCAACTTGCCTTAAGGCTAAATGCCACTTTCAACTAGTTGGAATTATAGTTTAAAATTTGATATTGCTGCAATGATTTATAACTGACTACTACTACTTTTGGATAAAAACGACCCCTTACATTGTGTATAGTTCTATATGCCGTTCATATCATTTTATTTATTCTTGTCACCCTAAAGAACATGACGATGACACGTTGTCGCCCTACCAGAGGTTGATATAGCTACTAAGTAAGAGAAAACGTCAACAAGGGATTCAAGACATCTCGTTTGTCAAAGAATAAGATTTTTTTAGAATATATCTTCTTTGGAAATTTACAACTTTAAAGTAGTTTTCGAGAGATTTGAGCTTTTCTATAAAACAATATTAGACTCTCTAGATAACTCTTAGACTCTGTTGTTCTTACCAGATTTTTTACAAGTGGCGTGATACAGTGTTTCCAAATTCTTATTAAAACAACAAAATTCTTATGTATTTGCCATTTTTTCATTTCTGTCTAGATAGTATAATCTAGTACAAATATCACCTCCAACTATCTAAGCTTAGAAACTAATATTATTAAAATTAATTTAAAAATTGCTTTTTGAAAATAATATTATGTTTTTAAAGAATTTTTGGAAGACTTAAGAAAAATTGAAATTATGAAAAATGAATTAAAATAATGAGTGAAATGTATTCGAACAGCAATCAGAACTTAAGAGTCCTTTGACCTGTTGTTTTGATACCTCTTAACTATGCGGATGTTTAAAAGGCAACCCAACGATTGGCCTATCCCTATTTGATATATTTCAGTATAAGATATTCTATAACACTGATAATTTTTAAAAATGAATAAAAAAACTCTATTTACCTGTGTCTCTGTCAGCATAAGACTGGTAGCAACTTCAAATCGTTTCGGCCTCGACAAGTATTTGTTTTGCCGAAATTGCTTCTCTAATTCCAATAGTTGCTGCGAGGTAAATGCGGTTCGAGGTCGCCGCGTTTTGCCCAGTAGAACGTGTTCGGCCCCACAGCCTTAAATAAAATAATAAATAATATAAAAGTTAGATAGTTTCTACAAAATTACTGGAAAAAATATTAGTTTAAAATATAGAAACTGTAAACTAAGCGATTTTGACTGACCATTTGTCACAAATATCGACCAAGTAAAACTAAATATTACTTTTAACTTTTCGTAGGGTAGTTATAGTAGGAGGCCGAAAATAGAAAATGAAAATTTTTGCATTTCTATACGTTTCGAAGGTTTCTGAACATTTTGGCATACCAAAGATACAGAGTTAAATGTACAAAAAATGGCAGTTTTTGAGAGAACTAAGCGTCCAATTTGAATGATTCAAAGAACTTTCTGCTTGTTTTAACAAAATAATTGCTTTCGGAATAAAATTTTTTTTTTTGTTTCCATTTTTTTTTTCAATTTAAAAAAAAAATTTTTTTGTAGGTATATCGAAAATAGTTCAAATTTTTACTTTAATTCTGACTAAAGTTTTAAAGCTCACTTATTTACTTTAAACAAATAAATTTGCGATTTAGTTTATATAATTCTTATAAATATTAATATTTTTGGAGTATTTACTCATGAAATTTATCAATAATTAATCATTTTCAGTATATGGTAGAGCAGGGCTTAAAGGTCCGAGGGTAAAAAGATCCACCTCCGATATCTAAAAAACAAGTCAAGTTAAGAATTTTTTAACAACAATATTTGAAAGTAGAGGGCAATAGATGTATAACCAGGCATCAACTTGATTCTTGTGATGTCGCTATCAAGATAAATGGCAATGTTTGAAAATTTATAACAAAAGTATTTTTGTTATTGTTAGATTTTTTTGGTTGTGAGCACTGTTGTTTAGTTGTCTAGTCATTTTGTAATTTTTAAGTATACGTTATTTAATTGCTTATAAGATGTATTCTTAATTTTAAGTTAGATTCAACAGTTTTGTTTATATAATCTCTATAAAAGCTTACACGTAGGTGAGGTAAAAAAGGCCTGGTGAAACTTTAGTCTGACAAAAGTGTGAACAATAAAAAATAGTAAACTAGTGGTGCATGGCATCGTGCCAAATTGCTGGAACTTTTAGTACCAAAAATTAAAATTAAAAAAAATCAAAATTGCGTTGTTCTCCATTTCGTAAATACAAATAAAATATTTTTTAAATCATACATATCGGACGCTTCCATTTTTGGCACTTTTTGCTCCGTATCTACAAAACGGCTCGACCTTTCTTTGCCAAAACTAATCAGCACGACTACTTTATCCATACGACTCAAATGTCTTTTAAATTATCCAAATCGGTTGAACCGTGTTTCCGAAATCGGCACACACACACATACATCCATTTTTCTAAGGAATGCTAAAATATTCAGAAACCTTTGAAACGTAAAGATATATAAAAAAATTTATCTTTGATTTTTTGCGATTACTATAACTTACCCTACTAGAAGTGAATAAATATGTAAATTAAGTTAAAAAAATCAATTTGACAAGAAATAAAATAAATAAATAGTTATTACAACTTTGCTGATGAATATTTCTGGAGAAACACCAGATCAAGGTTGTATACAGTGCTATCTCTGTAGAAAATGTACCCATGAAATTTATATTTTGCATTGGTTGAATAATGTAGATATTATTTCGTAAAATTCATTTAAAATTAAAAATAAGACAGTGGGTCTGTTTGCCCCCTGGCCTTTCCATTTTACCCCGCCAATGTGGTAAACAGGATAGATTACGTATTTTTGAAAAACAACATATAAAAATTTCTTCAGTTTTATTGAACATACTCAGATAGTCGTTTATTTTATATGTGTTATTTGTTGTAATATAGTTGGGTTGGTTTTCACAATATAAGTGTTCAAGTCAAATTGGAACTTTGTACTCCGCCCCACACTAATATCGTTTTATTTTATTTTTTTTTAATTTATTTGAACAGCGATCAGAACTTATGGGTTCTATGAGCTGTTGTGATTAATATCTTACAAACTACGTTTGTTTTTATTATAGATGGCAACCCAAACAGTTGTCTCATCTCTATGCGCTGAATTTTTATTATTACAATTACTGTAATAGTGATGCATTTAATAGGCTGTTTTCACTTAGAAACATATTGCTATCTATATCACACTAATATCGTAAATGCATTTTTGAAATATTGACACTAAAATGAAATGAAACAAATTACAACTAGAAATGTTGACAATAGTATTCGTTTAGTTAAATTGTAGATAGGGTATTTTGTTTGTAAGTTTCTCCCGTTGATTTCTGTCCTGATTAAAGGCATCGAAGGATGTAATATTATCAATTATCGTACGGTCCAGTAGTCGAGGAGTCGTTCCCAACCCCTAACCCTGCACCCTGCACCCTGCACCGTCTCTAGGTCTACGGTTCGGTAATGTAAGCGATTGGCCCTCTATTAAACGACCACCGGATCAAGTGTTGCGCCGGAATACAATTTCTGCCATATATACATTCGCTTGTTTAACCAACGTTTAATCTCGTTTAGACGATAAATGCACCCACCCCAATAATTTCGCCTTCTGTTATATTCATTATACAGTTTGTTGAATGCGCACTATATTGCGACCCATATGCATTTAACACCCTAATTTATACTTTATGTATTTATAATTTGTCATCCTTACAAACGACGCCGTGCTATGAAATGAATTATTATTTGCCCTAAGCCACGATTTTGCCATATGACCTTTTCGCGATTTTGTTATGAATTTTATATTATCAGGTATAGAGATTGGAATTGGTTTTTATTGTGGTCGATATGCAAAATATGGAGATTTGTGATTGATTTTATGGGCCTTATGTCGTCTTAGTAACAAGCGCTTTGAGTTTTTTTAGCGTTCACTTTGAGCATTTTTATTTTCTTTTTTTTATTATCTCTTTTATTTACAACTGTCCAGTAAAGGACATTCAATAAATTTGATGAATTTACAATAGTCGGCCGAAAAGGGATATTGTATACTACAAGGGCATGTTGGAAAAAGCAACTCAGTAGTTATTTTTCCATTCGAAATAAAATTCACAATATTTTATTGATAATTATTATTCAAAATTATTAAATTTTTATTCGTTTGAGGAGTTAAATTTTAAATTTGTAAAAACGTGCTTGCTGTATTTAATCAAATATTCATAAATTATGTACCAGTAGACTTTTTATATAAAGAAGATGGATAAATCAAAATCTCTACCTTCCCGCCTTACCCCTAGAGTAGAGCGGGGCTTAAAGGTTCGCGTGTAAAAAGGTCCACCGATATCTCAATGGACAAATGTATGTGCATATTCAAATTTCGCGCGGGCCTTATCTTTGGAATACAGAGTGAAGGAGCTATGCTACTATGCAAATAGTTTTTATTGTGTTTATGTACAATCTGTTCCATGTTGTATTTCAAGCAGACCACATCCAGCTAATAAATAATTTATATTTTAAATTGTGTTTTGGTTAATGTTATTATTTATTTCCTTTATTACCACTCAAAAATAAGTAAAATTACGAATTTTATAACAACAATTTTTGAACAAAGAGAAAAAAATAGATGTATAACCAGCTATCACCTTGATTCTCACAACGTTGTTACCGGGAAATAAACGGCAGTACTTGAAAATCAACAACAAAAGTTTTTTTTTTCGTTGATAGTTTTTTAGATTGTGAGCACTGTTGCTTAGTTTACGGAACCCTCAATATAATTTTTGTAAATAACTATATGCCATTTAATTATTTTATAAGCTAGGTTAATTTTCAGTTAAATTCAACAGTTTTTCATATACATAGCCTCTATAATAGCTTGCACGTGGGCGGAGTAAAAAGGACCAACTGAACCTTTACTCTGTCAAAGACATGAAAAATAAAAAATAGTTAAAACAAGCAATTTCATAAGAAATAAATTAAATAAATAGTCTTTTCAACTCTGATGATAAATATTTCTGACAAAATACCAGATCAAGGTTATATACAGTACTATCTTTGTAAAAATGTACCCATGAAATATATACTCTGCATTGGTTGAATAATGTGGCTATTATTTTTAAAATCCCTTCAAAATAAAAAATAAGACATTGGCCGTTCCATTTACCCTGGTTCTTTTTACCCTATGTGGTAAAAAGGAGCAGGTGACAAATTTTTGAAAAAACAGCAAAAAAATTTTTACTGGGGAGTTTTACTGTAAATAGTCAGATAGTTTGATAAATTTGCTTGATATTTGTCATTTGTGGTGATATAATTGCTCAAAGTAAAATTGGATTTCATGCCCCGCGCTACACTGCTGCACATTATTTTCATATTATTTTGTATAGAGTTATATTATATTTCACAATATAATTAGAACAATAGACAATTTTTTAATTTACAACTGTTAAATACAGTATAGTTATTGGTTTATTATAATAACTGTAGCTTAAGAAATAATAGTATTTAAATAAATTTAAAAACGTTCAGTTTAAGTCTAACTTTTATGGATAAAATTAGTAATAATATAAAATTTTTTAAATAATATAAAACAGGGCGGGCTTTTATTAGAATGCGCAAATTTTATGAATTTATAAAATTTTATGTATAATTTTTTGAGTGCATTTTTTGAATTAGCACGTTATTATCTTAGGTTTCACAATATCTGGTTTCAATTTAATCCTAATATGTAAAGACTAAAATGTTATTGTACGAAAATATAAGAGTAACTATTATGTTAGTATTATATTTGTCACAAAATTTGTTCCAAAATTATGTGTATTTCCGGATTGTAGTATCAGATTGAAGTGCATTCAATTTATAAATATTTTTATTGCAATTCATAGTCAAAATAATGTGAAACAAAGTTTTTGTTACTTTCAATGTCTAAATAATGTAAAACAACGTTTTGTTATTTTACACTATGAATATAAAAAATACATTCAGCTTTTCCTATCCAAAACAATCACGCATAGCTTTATTTTATAACTATAAATGTTTAGGTTTAAAATGTTATAGAAGATAAGATTTCGACAACAAATAGGCAACATTTTGATCGCT